TACAAAAAACTTAATGGCACATGGGCAAAAATTGAGACCCTATAAATCCATGTTTCTCCAAATTCCATTTCAAATTTAATTCTTATTAGTAAGTGAAGTTGGCAGTTTTCATTCCATAGTTTAGTTTATTAAATCTGTATTTTTTTTATCTTCAGTCAAATAAATAAAAAATTATTTTGAACAACAGAATTCAGATTGGTGTCTATGAGAGGCCTAAAAATTCATCAGCATAGTTAGGGGAATGCTTGTACAGAATTAATTTACTGCAGACATGCCTGTCTTCCCAATTCTATATAATATGATATGGTTCAAATTTATTTGAAGAAGGGCCGGCCAAATAGCTCAGCAGATTAAAGTGCCTGCTTAGGCAGATACAGGCGCTGGGAGTTCGGTCAGGCCCTCCTCCAGGGTACGCTGAGATGGTGATTGAGACTGGGCGTGATGGCACGCACCCATAATCCCAGTTCTTGGGAGGCTGTAAACAGGTAGATCACTATGAGTCTGATCTATGCAGTAAGACCCTGTACATCCTGTACACCCTGTCCTAAGTACAAAAAAAAAAAAAAATTATTTGTGGCCCCCAAATTCTTGTGGTCAACAATAAAGAAAACTAATAAAACCAAAAGCTATTATTTGAGAACATCAATAAAATTGACTAAAGTCTAACAGACTAAAATAAGACACAACCAATATAAGAAATGAGAAAAATGACATCACAACTTTATACCAATGATCAATCAGTTTACATGAAGTGGAAAAATTCCTTCAAAGATAAGAAATAGCCCACTGAAGAAGTGGCTGACTTCTTCAAGAGCATAACTTAAACAGACCTGTGTCTATTAAGAAAATTGAAATATCATTAAAATCCTTTCACAGTGAAAAGTTCAAGCCCAAGTGGCTTCACTGACAAATTCTACCTAGCAAGCATGAAATTCTATAGAAATTCTCCCCTTGAAATGGAAGCAAAGGGACTACTTCCTGGTCAGTCTATAAGGCCTATTTCTATAGAAGGACTTACATCTAGTACATATAAATCTTGAAACTCAATGAGAAAACTGCCATATTTTTTAATGAGTAAAACATTTGGACTACATAAAAATATACAAATGGCAAATTAGACAGATGAAAAGGTAGTCAACATTGTTCTTCATTAGTAAATACAAGTTAAAAATCACAGTGAAATAATACTACACACCAGTTGTAATGGCTGGTTTTTTAACTGACCACAATTTCTTCAAGGCATTCTCAAACACTACTGCTGGGAATAAAAAATACTGTATAGCCATTTCGGAGAAGTTTGGTCATTTCTGAAAAAACATACACCAATCATACATTGTTCAGTCATTTCATTCTATTAAATGGAGAACATGATTTTTCTTGCTAAGTGGAAACCTAGTCACCAATCTTTGTCTTGTAAATTCAGTCAGCTGTTCACTTCTTTATCTGTTTGGTTGAAAAACATGTCAGAAAATTCCCGGTGTTTCTCAGTGTCACATTCCAAATGTGGTATCTGGGTATTAATCAACCCAGCCTTCAGGCCCAAATGATTTATTTTTTCCATTAAACATTTTCATTTGTTTGTTTCCTACACTGTTGCTGAAGAGTAAAAATAAGTTAATCTGTACCTTCTCTTCTGCTTCAAATAAGCCTGATCATGAGCCCATTTGGAGGTTGACTCTTTTGCTTTAACCCCGACTAGCTGTCAGCCAGCTGTGCACTGTAATACACACTGGTACACACCCACATGCACACCTCAGTGCTCTTCAAGCCCCGAGCCCAGCCCCAGCAGGGTGAGTACCAGAGGCTTCATCTCTGCCATAATTGTAGAGGGCAGGGTTTGTGGTGAAGCCAGTCACCCAGGAACGTGGGCTGTGGAGGCAGTTTCTCACTTGTACGGGAGTTTGACTTTATTCCTAACGGGATCACCCTAAAATGCCTATAAGTTCAACTTAAGGTCATACTCATTTTCGTTTCCATCCTACTTTACCTCAGAAATGAGATTTTAAAATTATATTCTTGAGCATATTAAATACCAGAATAATGCAGGAAAGACAGATATCAAGTAGTTTCTGTGAAGAATAGTTAAGAAAAATGTAGACAGTGCAACTGTAGCCTGGGTCATTAGGAAGAACTCTGAATTCTTCCCCTGTAATAAGGGTGTTTTGTTTTGTTTTGTTTTGTTTTGTTTTGTTTTGTTTTGTTTTTCTTCCTCGAATGCCTTCAGGGCACTTTTGGCCAGCGGGAGAGTTGTGAGGTTCGAACTCCAGGAACCTGAGGCTGACAGCTTTGTGGAAGCAGCCACTTAAAGGACTGAGCTAGGGCCAGGCCCCCTCTTCCCCTGTAAACAGTGAACCAAGAGCAGGCCTGTGACAGCTGAAGATGTATTCCAAGACAGTTGTCTTCAGGTCTCACGCTGCCCAAGCACATTGCAGATTTCTCCTCCACGGGACTCAGATGATGGGGAACAAATTTCCACCCGCAGTGGCGTGTCCCCTTCTCTGTCCAACTAGTGACTGTCATTGTCATCACTCTTCATCTCATGTACACTGGCTTCTTACAGCAGTGCTATTGATTGCAAACTAGGAGCTTCAACTAGAAGTCTTTATGGCATTCAAAGACGGGTGAAGGGGAAAACTTGAGGTCTGAGTACTACTTAGGAAAGGAACTAGAACACCGAGAAACAGCCCAGTGCATGGCCTAACCCAGGGCCATCTTCTACATATAAGGAACGATGAAAATATGTTGAATATTTAATTTTTAAAATTTATTATAGTAAAAGACATTGCTATTAACTCCCATAAGAATATTCCCGCTTGTTTCAAACACATGGCTGATAATTCTTGGCAATGTGTCTTTTACTCATATGTATTAATAGGGACTAGCTTTTTGTTTTGGTTTTTGCACTGGGAATTGAACTCAGGTGCACTTACCAGGCAGGCACTTGTGCCGCTGAACTATCCCTAGCCCAGGGCTATCATTTGAATGACAATTGGTGTATTAAGGGACATGACTGACAGTTGAGACTAAGAGCAAGGAAAGAAAAGATATTTTTAAAATTTATTTTCCAAATTGAAACAGAAAAAAGATTACTAATTCTAATAAGATAAACTTATCATTATGCCCAGTGTAATGCTCCAAAATAATAATGTTGAACCTCAGATTGCCAGATTGACCTAAGTTTTATTTAATTATAACTATCAACACTTCAAGTATATTTGGTCCTATAATTAGTTGCTCATATCCTATAATCACAGGAAACCCATGATACCTAATCCCTTCATTTTCACTGATGCGTAAACTCATACTTAATACAAATGCTTACAGTTTTAACAACATAGAGGATTGTGTAAGACCTAGCTGTTTAGAACCCTGTCAGGGAAACAACACCACTAGATACAAGCCCACTGCGTATATTTTACTTTCTTTCAGTGCATCTTAAATTGTTTTATTTTTGCATTACTTATAAACTAAAATTTTAATTCACCAGAAAAACCCTAAGGAAATTTTGAGGAAGAAAGAAAAGCACTGAAATCCTCACAGAAAGTAAGATGATAAACTTGGGTAAGTCAGTGGCAGCTAGATCATAACTTAAGTTGCCAATACGCTTTTGGACAGTGAACGTGTAACACACACCTACTCATTCTGTGTGGCCAGATGAACATGGAGAGAGGCTGACTCCTCATCCCCGTGTAGTGTTCATCTGAAGCAATTTTCAAGCAAGTACATTTTGATTGGAGCTTATCTCTGCCAAAGTTTGTAAATGGTCGTGAGCAGTTTGTTTGAACAGCGCAGGGAGAGATTGCTTGGTGGACTGGGGCGAGTCACAAGGTCATCAACCTGGCATCTACCAACAGAAGGTGGCTCCACAGAGTCTGCGTGCAGCTTGTCTGAAGTACGTTGTGACGTATGAAGACTTCTACACCTTGCCTTGCCCTACCCTCCCATATTCCCTCATCCTTATTCTTGTGTCCAGTGACCTTGCTGCCTAATTTACTGATAAAAAGAAGGGTATAAGAGCATATGCTCTTCTTTCCCTCAGGACTTGAGCATATCCTTCTTTTTATCCGTTCCTCCATCCCTCATATTGCCAAAGGTGTTTCATCTATCTGAACCCTACCCTCATTTGTTCTCTTTTCCCAGGGACTCACTCTTTTGGTTAATAGCTCTTTCTCTAAACTGTGTGGCTTCTGTGGCTCCTGGTTTGCTGCAGATATGCACACATTCTTTTGCCCAGGACATGTCTTTTGGTGTCTCCTTAGGCCACCATAGTGTCTTCTCAGATTTCTCAGTCAGACTTCTATAAGTAGTTTTTCTTGTGTTTCATAGTAGTGCACCACAGATGCCTGGAAAGCAAGGACTGTAAGTTAGTCTGCATCTGTCAGGTGCCTCTCACAGTATCATCTGGTGAGTGGCACACAGATCTTGGAACCTCATAAGCCAGTGCTGAAGTTTGGACTCAGTTTCTGATGAATGACATTGGGTAAATAATCTTGCTGATCCTAGATCTTACCAAATGTGAAGTGAGAGTAATAATGCCTGTCTTAGAATGTTATTAAAACTAAATGATATGTGTAAAAACCCTAATAGGATGTTTGGCACAAGTAAGTACTCAAAAAGCTGGTTCCTAGGGCTGGGGAGATGGCCCATTGGTCTCAGTGCCTGCCTGGCAAGCAGAAGGACCCAAGTTCAGGCCATGGCGTTGCATGTGGTGCCAGCCCTGGAACCCCAGGCATGGTGGTAAACACCTGTAATCCCAGTGCTAGGGAGGCTGAGACAGGAGGATCACTACAAGTCTGAGCTGCATAGTAAGACCCTGTATCCAATTAAAAAAAAAAAATAGCTGGTTCCCTTCAAATCTCTACTCATGGTAGAGACTTAAGTATCTATTCAGTGTATAACTGAATGGTCTTCTGCATATGTCAGATCAGCGTTCAGTGGCATTGCATTTATTTTTTTGTTCTGTTTGATTTTTACTCTTTTCTTTTCCTTGTGTGTTTCAGGTTCACAACCAGTATCCTACAGAGTTTGAATTCAATCTCTATTACTTAAAGTTCTTGGCCTTCCATTATGTATCTAATCGCTTTAAAACTTTTCTCCTGGATTCAGACTATGAAAGATTAGAGCATGGTATGCATTTATATGATCTTATTCCATCTTTTTAGTTTTGCATTGTCTAAAATTTATCAGAAAATAGTAAATTCTTGTCACAGTCACTTGATAAATTTTAGACTTCACTGTCATTATTATAATTTTTAGTATCAGTAATAGTTATAAAGAATAAATTCTGAATACATTAACAGACGTGTAACTTAAAAATTGTTTGTGTATTTTCATTGTGATTATATAATTTACAAATGAACAAATTTATTTTTATTGTGTTTTATCAAAAGAAAGTACATCAAAATATCAAGAGTGGAAAAAAAATAAATTCTGAAAGCCCCTATGAAAACATGTTCCAAGGGGATTTTGCATTCATTCTTTTGTTGCTTTAAGGTGAGGAAAATACACATGACTAGTTTTGTTAAGAAGACAAGCAGGGGCCTGGGAGATGGCTCAGTGGAATAAGCGCTTCCCTGGCAAGCGCAAGGGCCTGAGTTCAATCCCCGGTTCCAGGAAAAAAAAAGAAGACAAGCAAACAAAAATCATTTAGTACATTATGTGTACAGTAGTATTCATAAAGAGGACGTTTTAGTGACAAGAAAACATTTACTGATGTTCAGCTGAAAATGAAGACTGCTCTTCAGGACGCACCGCTGCGGCTGTCTGGTGTGGTGTGTCATACTGCTGGTCAGAGAGGGACACTGACCAGAACACCCATCCTGTGTATGCTTTCCGACCTTTACTGACACAAGGAATTGTCTTTCCTCGCCTTACATTCAGAAACAAGTGCCCAAGCACCACGTGTAGACCTGCTCACAGCGGCCCCTGACCTGGTCTAGAGCAATCTAATCTGCATGACTGAGGAATCACAGTGTGCTGCAGCTTTATCCCTGAAAAGAACAGCATATGCAAATACCGCTGGTGTGAATAGTTATCTCCCTGGAGCAGGCTTTTGGATTTTTAGTAGAGCTGTCTGTTTTGCTAAATTGAACTATGAGCAGATTACCTTAACAGCCTGCAGATGTGGCCACAACCCAAGGTTTCTGCTGCAGCAGATGATGGCTGTCTTCGTTAGAGATGCAGCAGTGTCCGGTGCGGTGGCTCCCAACATCCAGATTGAGTCAAGTCTGTGATGTTGGGTCTGGGCAGGAGCAGCTTTCTCAAGCTCCCCAAGGTGATTCCACTGTGTTGCCAAGGATGACACCTCCCCAGCCCCGCTCCAGTGGGGGAGAACAAGAAACTTAAGTCAGACGACGTTGGTGACACTGAGTAAACTACTTCATTGCTCTGAACTTGTCTCCTCATCTAAAAAACTTTATTTGCCCCACCTATCACACACCAAAAAATCAAGTAAAACATGAATAAAAGGTATTTTGGAATCTATGGAAATATCATTGTTATTTGAAAATGTGATTATTTGCATCCTATATCCTAGACATATGTTCTCATAACGCACAGGACATGCATCTAGAATCCTACAGTATCATTGCCAAAGCGACCTTGGAAGTCATCTACCCAGACTCCTCCCTGAACAGAAGGGCTCCCAAGGACCACCCCACCCCACTAGAAGCCTGTTTCTATGTCCTCTGTCCAGACACAGGACTCAAGTCTGCCCCTGTTGTGTTTGGGTAGACATACAAATTACGAAGCCTACACAATGAAATATCATTTAAAACAGCTGTGGTAAAGACCTCTACCTGCCAAAATCAACAGTTGGAAAGAAAGAAATCTCAAACGCTGTTAATAGAATATATCAGTCATGATTTCTAAGATTTCATCAGAAAAGTCTAAACATCATGAATTCTCCTGTGTCCTGAAAGAATAATATGTTATTATGTACTGGATTATAAAATTGTAATTTGATAGGATTTGACATGAGTATCTGATGACTCAAATTGTGTTTAGGGTGTTCCCTAAATATAGCCATTTGAAGATTCTAAGAAAAATGCCTGGGACTTGGTTCTAATCACCAGGAATCATCAGTCCTGGAGGAAGGTGTTCCCCTGAGGAGAGGAGAGCCATCTCTTGCACTGCCTTCTCTGGTTTTGACTCATTCTCCTCTTGTCTGTAAAGGTGTCCAGAGCCTAGTCCACCTGGGACTGACTGCCACACAGCCATCCTGTGTAATCTATCTCCTCCCAAGTGGAGCATAAGTGAGGGGATTTTGAAAGTCCATCCCAACCCCTAGGGCAGTCTCAGTTTCAAATATTGGCCTCACTTGGAGAGCTTTTAAAATGACTAATGTCAGACACCTATCCCCAGTGATTCTGATGAAATTGGTCTGAGGTGAGATCTGGTCATTGGGATTTTTTTTTCAGTATTTAGTTTTTTTAATGTATAACCTAGACTGAGAACAACTGGACCCTGCAGGGAAAAAAAACATTAGTGTTGGAGGCTCCATATTTTGGGCTTCAAACATTCTTTTCTACACTGACAACATCCTTGTTGACTTTGGACTGAGGCATTTCATTCAAAGCAAGATAGCACTGCTAAGAAAGTCACCCTCTCTAGATTTGTACAGAATCTTGCTTCACCTGACTCATCTTCCTCCCCATTGAAAACAAAGTGGCCCAGACTGGTTTGGCATGCCTGCAATCCCAGCTTCTTGGAGTCTGAGGCAAGAGGATCACAAGTTCAAGGTCAGCCTGGGCAATTTAGCAAGACCCTGTCTCAAACTGGAAAAAAAGAGATGAGATGTACCCAGTGGTAGAACAACTCTAGTTTAATGACCAGTGCCTCAAAAACAAAATGGGCTCGTGTGAGCAATCAAGTGACTGTTTGAAAAGGACAAAAATGGTGTCAGAAAAATACCTGAAATATCTTGCTAAATTCTGCTTTGTTTTAACTTATCCAAGGACACAGAATACAGCTTCCTGTCATCCAAGTCTCTGTGACAAGGAGTTATAGTATAAACTACTAAACAAAAAAAAAAAAAAAAAAAAAAAAAAGCTACAAATGGTTCATAATAAACAGCCAGTAACTTTGTAAAAAGAAACATAAAGGCTGGGGATGGGCTAGTGAGAAAGCTCACGGGTCCAAAGTGCCTGCTTAGGTAAGCTTAGGCAAACTTGCAGGGACCTGGGTTCGATTGCAGGCACCACCTGTGCCAGCCCCACCCCCAGGGCAGGCTGAGCTGGCCACAATAAAATATCTTGAATTTACATCATAGCCACTGTGGGATTTAAGTGTATGATTTCTTTGTGAAGAGGATTGTCAATAAAAATCTTCATGAGGGCTAGGGAGATAGCTTAGCCGTCTAAGCGCCTGCCTGGCAAGCACAAGGACCCAAGTTTGGTCCTCCCCTAGGAGTGCTGTGCTGGCCACCAAAACCATGAGTATGAGCGGCATAGCACGACCCTGTACCAAATAAATGAAATATTAAAAAACATGGAAAAAAATAATAATAAACATAAAATCGTGTTTTTAAATGAATTTCATCATATCACCTCTTAAATCCATTTTTTTTCTTGAAAAATGTGTAGAATGTCTCTTGGCAGGAACTTGTATGGCTCTAGACATAGCTGTAGGACGTGAGAGTGGGAGGAGGTCAGGACGTGCTGCTAACTGCCCAGAAAACTCTACTGGTGTTTTCCTTCCATTTTGATTTGTTTCCACATAGTCATGAAGTTCATTCCTGTCTTTAGCTTGCAGTTATCTTCTTTTTTTTTTTTTAATTATTTATTTATTTTTATTTATTACATTTATTTATTGTGTGTGTGTGTGTG